TCGTTGAAGACAAATTAAAAAGGACATAGTTAATAACATATGATTCATTTATAATCTAACAAAATAAACAATAATACTCCTCCAGCTCCACATTTCTAACTAATTCACACATACCAATAAAAATAGTTAAAAGTATTAAATTTGTCATAAAATTCAAGTGATTCCTAATTTCTAATATTATCCACATTAACTACACTGAATTTCAACATCATATTAATTTCTATTACTCACTACTCTTATTAAATATGGACATATATGGTAAAAATATATTTAATACACATTGAAACTATCAAAATGTCTTATAAAATGGATTAAAAATACCTTCTAGAAGAGTTCTTATAATATGAACCAAAAAGAGTATTAAATAATTATTTACACATATTTAAAAGTTTATGAGAGTTTTTTCCCCTCAACCTGAAGGAAAAGAGATCTAACCTACCGAAATAAGAAGTAGGAGCCCAATGAAATGAGAAAAATTGAAGAAGGAAGCCATCTATTTGCAATTTTTAAATCAAATTATTGTATAAACTGCTGATATGTTTTTTCTGTCAGGCAGCTAGATAGCAATGGGCTATTTATAGTTATGTCATGATTTGGTTAATTAAGTAAAAGGTTGAGTCCATTTGCTCACATTCCTTATTAAGAATTAATTTTTGGATTTTGGAAGATCCAGTTATTTGGATTCTCATTTGTGAATTTCTTACTTTGTTCTAGAAAACTTTGTTATCTCTCTTTTAATAATTGTTTGCTTTAGACATCATTTTGGATTTGGGAAATCCACGATGATGACTTGGATTCTAATTTTGAAGTATCTTTATATATTACTACTGGCAAAAAGAAGTATCTTTATTACCTTTTTTCTTCTGCTTCTAAACCTAAAATTCATCTTATAATGTAATTTATATCATAAAATATATATTTTATTTAGAATTGGAAAAATATCTTTTATATATGAAGACTAAATATTTTCATACAATATTTTGTACACCGAAGCTCTTTTGTAACATGTTAAGATGAAGCCAAAAAAAAAAAACTCCTTTAGTTCTCTTTATGAAGTGTGTTTTATTTCTAAATGTAAGACATTTACTTATTTTATTTCTTACATATACCATTTTTTTTCTAAACTAATTTATCTAATTTATAAATTGATATATAATATAATGGTATATAAATTTGTTTTAGATAGATTACTTGATATATATATATATATATATATTATAATTAAGTAATTTATTTAGTTTTCTCTATCAACACATACTTAAGATAATTATTATACCTGAACTTGTGTGATATTAACTCAAACAAAACGTTAGATCCAAGAGACATTTCATATGAAATATTTACTAAACGTCACACTCTCTTAACTCATATTTCATTTAGAAACAAAAGAAATTTGATTAAAATATTGGAACGTTGCTCATTTGGAATGACAAGCTATTGGTGGAAAAACCATTAAAGCTTTCAGATTTGGATAACATTTGAAAAAGTCCATGAATAAGTCAACTTTAAATTATTATTGGAAAAGAATTACATATGCAGCGTCTTTATAGTTATTTCAATTTTCTCCCGATAGATGGAAAAATGACCCAAAAAAAGACCGTCTAAATAAAAAAATTATAAATTAGAACCCATAACAACATCAGTATATGTTTTGACAATAATAGTAGAGCTGGTAAAATGGGCCAACCTGCGAGGTTACAAGTTGGCCCGTGGCGGGCCGCGGGTTACACGGTATGGGTTTCAAAGGCCTGTTTTCTGGTGAGTTGGCATTTTGCCAATAACCCACCAACCCGCCATAATTTTTATTTTTTTCTTCTTGCTTTGTTTTCCCTATTTTTTTAAAATATTAGCAGCTATATATAATAAAAAATAAAAACACTAAAAATGATATAAAATATTACAAACATCCAAATAAAAATTACAATACAATAAAATACAAATAGTATATGATTGTCTAATTTTCTAACATGATAATACACAAGTTCACACATTTTTTTCCAATGAAACCAATGAGCACCATTGAGTAACCCTCTTTATCTAATTATTTCTAATGGCAATGAAGTTTGGAGTGAAAGTCTATCTTACTTTTGCCTTCATTATTATTTTTAAAAAAAATAGGTGGGTTAACCTACGGGTTGGTTCGAGTTATGACGGTGCGGGTTATATTTTTTGAGGTAGTAGCAAGTTGACTTTTGGCCAACTCTAACCCACCATTCTTGGCAGGCTAACTAGTTGGACTTGTGGGTGCAACCCATATTAATGACTCTAAACAATAGTATGGGTTTTGAACACAATTTTTATGAACAGGTCTCTGTATGCAATTTTTCTATTTTAGCTATCTTTTTTTGTGATTTTCTCCTGCTAAACATGATCTGAATTTTGAACCTTATACACTCCAAATTCTATATTTATTATTCTTTCAATTTTCATTGCTACCCGTCCAAAAAAAAATATTGATGGTAATTTATTTCTATTTTTCCTAAAAATATTTATGACTAAATTCGTGGAAGTTAATTCAAATATGTTAATTGTAAAAAATGAAAAAGAAAAACACTTCTCATATCATCATTATTGTTATTGTCATTTATTTAGAAATAGCAGCCACATACATGACAATTGCACAACAAAAGCCCATAACCCAGATTGAATCAGCTCATCCCAAAGCTCAGGCCCAAAGTTCAATCCTTTTTGGGTCCAACAGCAAAAGGCCCACAGGGATAATTACAGGTGCAGAGGCCCAAGTTACAAGTGCCTTGCCCACCATCGTGATTTTGCTTGCACTTCTCATTACATTTACCTCTGGCCCCACAAGCGCCCATTGGGTCTGAGCATATTTTGGCCCCCTCCGCTATGTCCACCACCATCATCCCTCCTGTAATATATCACAAAACCTTAACTTAGCATTTTCAATATTAATTATAATTGAAGATAATCAATTTTAGAAATTTAATAAAAAGAAAGATGTTAAAATATTTGGTTTGAATTAAAGTGTTTGGCATGATTTTTCCAATGCTTGTTTTTGATGTTTTCTGCATGTATTTTTTAATATCTTTAATAATCATTTCAATGTTAAAGGTTTAAAAAGTTCTTCACATATGGTTCAAAAAGTTTTGCGATGCTTTTCTGGCCAAACCCAAAAATAAATTTAAATTTTTTTATCATTTAAAATGAACTAATCGGTACATAGATAGGTATTGGTTTCATTTTTCACATAATTAATTGGCATAAAAAATTGGAAAAAAAATAATAGAGAAGGCCTAACCTGTTGAAACAAGAAGTAGGAGCACAAAGAGATGAGAAAAATTGAAGGAAGCCATCTCCTTGCAATTTCTAAGTCAAATTATTGTGTATATTGTATTGGTTTTTCTGTGAAAGAACTACCTAATCATGGGCTAGTTATATTTCTACCACAATTTTATTAGTTAAATAAAGGTTAATTCTATTTATTCTCATTTCATATTAAGACTTAATTTTTGGATTTGAGAAAACCAAAGTTACTTGGATTCTCATTTGTAAATTACCTTTCTTGTTCATGCCCAAAAGAAAAGGAATTAATTACCTTTCTTGCTTTTGTTCTTTTCTGCCTTGTTGGCCTTTAGGTGCTTTTGTTGTACAGCACTTCTTTTCATATTTGTTCCCTTTCTTGTTTCACTATCTCTTTTTGTAATATCTGTTTCTTTTAATTTCTTAGATATAGTTTAATTTTATGCATATACCTAAAATTTATGACAGCATTAGCATCTTGGCCAAATAACAAAAATCTTGGGCACTAACGTTTTCCTAATACGCATGATTATTTAAAGAAATATAATTGTTCAAACAGACTTTCAATTGAAAAAAACAAAAGATATTCAAATACTGTTTGTTAATTTGACAAAAAAAAGCAAGCAGCAATAATTGCAAGCCACATTTTTTTTCAATGGTAAACTGGAAGCCACATCTAATTGATGTGGAAAGAGAAATAGAGATATCAGATTTAGATAGCAATATTTCTTTCATTGGTTGAATGGCTCATTTCAATTTGAGGCTGATTGGTTGAATTTGAATCGGGAAAATGACAAGTAAAGAAACTAAGAAATGGAAATGGAAATGTAAAATGTGATATTTAAAATTAGGCACTTAATGCTTTAAAATCTCATAAAAGAAAATAGTGTCTGATATGATATTTTGATAACTTTTTTTTTTAAAAAATCTAATACAAAAATATTTTAATCATTTAACTACATTTGCCAAATATAAGATTAGGCACGATTTCTTTTCTTATCATTTCCAACTCTTAAATACTGGAATTAAAAAATGATAATTTCATGTTTCTTTTTCTGGAATTTTCCTGATACGAAAATTGAAAAATATGTAAATCTCAAATCTAAGCGTTTTGTATTTTTCCTCTTAACTTTGCTTTGGGCTCTTAAGTTTCTCACTGTTTTTTTTTTTTATAGATTTAAAATTTATTTTATTATCACATCTGCGAGTAAAAAGTAAAAATTAATCTCTCTGAGAATGAAGAAATGTAAAAGATAAAAATTAAACCCCTAATTATTTCATTTGAAAGATAAGACAAATTAATATGTTTTTTTTTTATTACACAATACATTATGCTAGTCCTTAATATAAAAAGTAGTTCACTAATTTGAGTAAATTAAAAAAAATTATCAATTTAATTATTTGTAATAAATATGTTATCTTTCTTAAAATATTCTTGTTAATAATGTATATTAACTAAAACTATCATTTGATTAAATCTTTAATATGTGTAACTACAAAAACTATTTTTAAATAAATACATAAATATAAAAAAACAAAATAAATTAAAATTGTATATTTATAATCAAATTTATTGTCAAACTAGTTTTTATATTAATAATGTTTTCAACTTAAAAAGAGAATTTAACTATCATAACTTGTATAGAGACAATTTATCGTTTATTTTCATGATTTTCTGCGGAGGAAGAACAATTCGTCATTTTTTCCATATCAAAAAGTTAAGGAATACAACTTGATAATACTAGAGTAACAAAACTCAATTCTATTATTCATATGTGACCCTATTCCAAATTACACATCAATCATTAGTGATCTTCAATCCTATCTTGTGAACGAGTCAGCCACGGAAAAGGGCGGCATCCGTCAGAATTGAGAAGCAAGTTTCTGTAGTAGCAGTGTGGTGCTGTATTTTTAACTAAACAATGTGCAAATTTTACAGAGATTGGCCACCATAAATTATATGATTCCCCAGAATTTGACAAGGAAGTCAGAAGCATTAATAACCCAAAATGGAAAAAACTAATTTAGTCATCTATCCTCAAAGGAGCAACAGTACCTCCTTAGCCTCTGGTGTTTCCCATGCATCCAAATCCCAAGAATGGTGGCTGACAGGCAATGAAGCCACAATAATATGCTGCAATTTACAACTCTCATGCCACATGAGAGACATGGAGGCCGAAAGCGAAAACTGATTCGGCCAAAGAATCGAGTCAAAAATAGTTGGCTCAAGGTGATGAGTAATTGGCAAAAAGATGCAACAAATTGTCTAGTGTTTCAGGAGTGAACTTCCTGGCAAATAGGTAACATGGTCTCTGAATCCCATTCCACAAGCAAGGCCATCTTTGCACTTCTTTCTGTAGAAACACAAGTTTTCTGTTAGGTTATCTTGTGCAAATTGAATAGAACTAATCAGGAGGGCTCTCAAGATACCATACCTTCCCATCACTAGTGACATGCACACTGACGTCAATGGACTGCAAGTACAACAAATAATTGTGAAAATAAGTGTCAGAAAGTTGATAAGAAATTTCAAGAATTAAATGCGTCAACTATTGGAAATGTCCACTACTCTCATCCTCACGTGAGAAATGAAAGGTTCAAGGAGTCGCCACAACAGAACTACATAACGCAAGGTGGGAGGACAAAATTACTGAAGTGCGCATAATCAAAATGTGCCAGGTTGGCATAGACTTGGCATATGCTTAGCCAAACTACAGTTCTCAGAAGAGATATGCACACTCACAAAAACAAAGATCAAGGACGTTCATAGATTTGCTATTTAAGCTGCAGTTTTAACAGAACTGTACCGTAATATTCTTCAAAAGCTCATATGTTACATCCCGAGCCCTATACGATTTTGGATGCCATTTTCTCTCAGACCAGTCTACATGGGTTATTGACCAGTTTGCAATTCCATTAGGATCGATTATCTGAACCACAGGTAACTCAATCAGTAGTTGAAGGCTAAACAACTGTGAAAAGCCCAAAAAGGTCATGCACTTGAGGTGAAATGCTCACGTGAAAGAAAGTTGGCAGATAATGTTCATCAGCAATGCAATTCCGCCCCTCCACACCAGGCTGTGATCATCATCAAGAACTTCAACATCAATAATTGAACAGATGTAACGTGCATATGACAACCTGGCTACAAGATCTTCAATATGAAAGCAAAGCATGCACAAAAAGTGACTGTTTCTGTTCAAATTTCCATGTAATTTAAAGGAACAGTATTTGCTAATAATCTTTGTACAGTAGTTGGACTAGTTGCGCATATCAAGATCTTCTTGACTTGCGTTGTCTGGCAACTGATTGGAAATTTCTGCATCAGATTACCAGAACGTGACAATAGGTTATTGTTTACTTCTTCCTTGTGCAATGAATTCAAAAAACCATTTAAGAAAATGAAAGGAAGAGACTAAAATTCCACATTTCAAGGGGAAGGATATTACGGTATGTGAAATCATATTGGTCCCCCATACACCGGACACACTCAAAAGTGCAATATTAAAAATCACAGAGATTGCAAAGCTTCTTTATTTTAGAAGTGGCACTGAATTTGTTACTCAACAGTGACTTGCACGCATTATCAAAAATCCTTCTAAGCTAATGTCCATCAAAGTGCCAACATGATGCATTTCTTATCTATCTTTTTATCACCAAAATGCATAGAACTCGTTGTTCAATTACACCTTGTGTGGAGCATTCACGTTACGGAAACTTCAAAGAAATTATTGAAACACCGCTCATGGGGAAAAGAAACTTAATCAGTAAACATATTATTGCATATGGAATCACATTGATCCCCATATACAGGATGTAATCAAAAGCTCAAACGCAAGAAACAAAATGAAATGTTAGATATACTTTCTAAGGTTTGCTGACAAAGCAACTTTAAAGCAAAGTTGATATAGTTAACACGAGACCAAATATTAAAAACCAACAAAATTGCTTTCAATTTCAAATTTAGCCATATCTAAGAATAACTTCACCTCGCAGTAAGTACGGAATTTTGAGTAATATAGATTGTCAGCCATGATTATAACAGCATGCTGTCGCTTCACAGAAAACCACTGCAGGAGAAAGTGAAACCATGACATGTTTAAATGTGCGACATGTATTTCAGAGTAATACACAAGGTACAAACTAATAACATAAAATAATAATAAAAAAAAAAAAAACAAAAAGAGGTAAACTCAAAGCACCACTGAGCCTTAAACTGAGAAGATAAACTGCATGGATATACATGAGCATCGAGCAGCAACGTGAATTGCGGTATAACAATGAAAAATATATTTTGTTATTATAATTTGGTTTGTAGCCAGTTTTATATCAAAGGACTCAACTAATAGAATATGTTGTTTTTTATAACATAGAGGTAAAGCCTATAAAAATGTACGAAGAGCTCCCATTTATCTAATTATCTAACTGGAATTCTCTGATAAGAGCAATTCCCCAAAAAAAAAAGTCTAAATAGTAGTGATGGGTCCAGACTTTAAATTCCTACTCCTATAAGCAAGCAAAGTTTCTATTCAAATATTCTCTTCCTGGTTCCAATATGATTCCAGCAAGAAAAATACCTGTGCACCCTTTCTAAAGTTCTTCATCTCAACTTCTGGTAACATGTGTTCTGAATACCTGCCGTTGCCATGAGGACCAGGATCCTTAAAGCTAAGAAGAAAAAGGAAGCAAAGCTGCATTAGTAAAGGACAGCAAGTTGAAAACAGAATGCAAAACCGGAAGAGCTACCCATAAAACACACACACACACAACACATTTAGCAAAGTTTGGCATACCAATCAACAAAGCTGATATTTGTATTCATCAAATAGTTGTAAATATAGTCAAAGTTATACAGTGGCACGCAACTGCAAAAACAATATAACCAAACCAGAGTTAATAAAACCAATACTGCTACTCAGAACTAAGAACAGAATATTTAAATTTTCTCATGGCCTAATGACCTTTCAGAAAGCAAAACAAATTGCTCATTGTCTGGATCTTGCAGAGCATTTGCCAACAGCCGCCTCTCTGCATCAACCATAGAAATTTTCCCCCATACCACCTGCGACAAGACAATTACTAATTACTAAAGCAACTCATTAGATAAAACAACACATGATTACTCCAGCTAGTTGCTACTATTACAGTTACTAACAGAATGGCAATAGCTCAACTTAAGGGTACATTCCACAAATTATTTTTTATTAAAAAAATTATTGAAGGAAGCAACCAACTAATGACAACAGGATACAACATTGCTCTGGAAAAAATGAAGAAACTGAAATTTACAACATTTTGACTTCTAAGGAGAAGTGAATGAATAAACAAGAAGTGAATAACCGTTAATTAGCCGAAGATGCTGAGAATCAAATATTCAAACTCAACTCATTTAATTAAATAAGCTTCATATTCTCATTCACTTAATGAATAAGTTGAACCGAATTTAAACTTTTTGCAGGCCAAGGCTAGCTCATGAAAAACTCAATTCATTGGTCCACCTACTTTTGAAGGCATTATTAGATTGTTATAATATCATGAAAATTTTCAATTCAACAGAGACATATATGCAAATCCTCTGCGCATCATTCTGCAATTCTATTATTCCTATCATTAAATTCAACACAACCTCTAAGCTGCGAGATGAGCTTTAGTGATTACTTTAATTTAATAAAAATTAATGAAAAATCATCAATTTATCAATAATTCTTTTATGCTATTAACCCTTTTGTTATGCAAACAGGATTGAAAAAGCACAGTCATCAGCTATTACTTTATATTATTACATTGTATCTAAAGAACTTATGTTCATGCACACAAGGCAACACAACTTATAAATAATAGTAACAGAGCAGAACAATTACAGGCCAATTTATGCACCTCGTCACTGCGTATATTCCGATTAACAAAATACCGGCTTGTATGAACTGGTTTGGTTTTAGAAGCATGCACATAAACAGAGAATTTGCCTTCATGACCCTGCCAAAAAGAAGTGAAGCATTCTTTCCGTGAATACACAGATAAAAGTTATTATACTCAGACACAGACAATAAACCAACAAATATGGAAGAGAGACTATAAGTAAAACAGTTCATGTAGTACAGGCCTATTTCATATTTTGTACTGAAAATCAACGTGAACAGACAGCTTCAGAGAATCAAAAAGCTTTAATATAACTTGCAGGCAACGCGCCAGGGCAACACTAATTACTGCACAAATGTTCCCAAGAACACAATCTTTATCTATAAGGGAGCAGAACAGTAATATTAGGACCAGAACAAGTTATAATAACTATAATACCATTTATTCCTTTTAAATAAATTGCTATGCATTTTACATTTAAAAAATGCAATTTTGCAACCATTACTTTTACCCTTCATTCCTTGTCTGAGCACAAAGGACTGCCATGCTTAAGTCAACTTCTTATTATCTATCTATATCTACTGAGAAAAATAGTATGAGACGAAATTATAAAAAGCATTATTAGGTCTTTGCTGAAAAAATTCAGATTTTGAAATGAATCAGTTCTTCACAAATAAAATATACAGGAGCACACGAATTGATAGAAAGCACGAAATATAGAAAAATAAATAAATAACTGATGAAAGAGGCATGTAAGACATCCTTACTTGGAAAAACCTATCCCACAATTTTTCAAATGGAAGAGAACCAGGCGTCAAAAACATGAAGGCAACTTTGGGACTTTTGGGAAGGACATGTGGTGCATTCAAAATATCATGAATCACAACACGTGATGCAATCTCTTCATCCGTGTGTTCCCTTTCAGGAGGTGGAAGCCACTCTGCAATAACCTTGCATCCTTTGGAAGAAAACACATAACAAGCGGAACTGCTGCTTGGTGGGTATATGTAGGCACAAATTAGAAACAGACATACAAATAGAACCAAGACGATAATCCACAGTGGTTTCTTCAATGGCGGGCGATGGCGAGAACCAGACAGCATCTGCATTTCACTCATGCGCAGACGCCAAACTTTTGCTGTCTTCATCTAAGAAAATGCTTTATGCTTGTCCTCTAACAATTCTCCTTTTTATCAACATTTACGGTTCCCAAATGCCAGAAACCAAAGTATATTGGCCACGGTAAACCTTCAGCAGATAGTAACAGAAAAATCTGAAATTAAAACATGTAACAAACGCATTGAGATCCATTCAACTAGTCAAAAGAACTCAAATCTTTACACAGATATCCCTGCCCAAACGGATTTTCATGCTATACATAGGGCGAACAAAGGTCTCCCTGATGTTGAAATTTAGAGATCCAGATGTTAACGAATACAGTCTTCAGATATAAAATTCAGGCCAGCGTAATAAAACATCCAATCGGATTGCAAATTGGAGACTTCAGTGACGGAAGTAAATTTTAAACATCCATTAGACAACAACCAGTTGCCTGGGTGAAACTGTAAAAACCTAAAATATAAATTGAAATAGCGGGAAAAGTTTAAACTATACACTCATCAAGAATCTTTCCATATAGTAAACGATCATCATAATTCGAATCATAAATTCCAAGCCCGAGTATAATAATTTCAGTTTCCCAATAAGAAACACAAGAAAAAAATTCAAATCCAAAATGCACACTGTGTCATGCATACCGGTCAACCTGACACGGATACCCAAGCCCCCCTGCTTGCCATTTTAAGTAAGCAAGCAATATAATATAGATAGAAATGACTCTGAAAACACAACACAACCAACGTAATTCAAACAAGGTCCTTCCTTTCTCTGGCTCTTTTACTTCATCCTCCATCGTCGAGGGACGAAACAAATAAATGACAACAATTTCAAACAGAAAAACAGAGAAAAGAAAAAAAAGTCCTGTCGATGAAACCAAAGACACTGAAAGGCACATGGGAACGAGCAGCATGAGTACCTATAAGCTTTGGCTTCAGCTGCAACGAAGCTGGGAACGATCAAAGATCTCCAAGAGCCAAATGCTCGTAAAAGATCTAGGGCAAACGCAATGTAAGATGAACACAGAAGAAACAGGGTCCTCAGAGAGAGAGACTTGCTACTATATAAATATGAACGTCTTGATGTTTTGCCGTCCGAGATTGTAGAAGTTGGAGGATTCGTTGTTTTTCTGGGCTGTCTCTGCTTCGTGCTTTCTCTCTCTAGAAGTCGCAGACGAAGAACGAGTCGTTTTGGGTCCGTGCCAGCCAAACCAAAACCACATGAAAGCCGGCGATTGGCGGAAGTGAATTAATTGAATTAAATAGAAATTATGAAATTAGATATATTACCGGGAAAATTGATCTTAAGCATATTATATATAGAATATAAATTATATATCGGTTAAGATTCATGAGTTTGACCAGGCGCAGCCGCAGCGCGTGTTGAGTTTCTCGAAATATACTACTGGTCATCGAGAACGACGACCCCCGACTTCAGTTTTGTTTGACCCAGAAGAAGACTAGTCATCGATAAAGAATGGTCATAATTCATAAATGAATTAAGTTTCTAATTTTATTTTATTTTCTTTGTTTCCAACAAGGGTGAAGTAGTTCGATAATTTTGTGAAGTTTTTTATTTCAACAAGTTACATAAAATAAAAATTTCCTTTTATATTTGTTTTAAAGTTAAATTCAGTTACCAAATAAAATAATTCATCTATTATAGAATGATATACGAAATAAACAAGAGTGTTACAAATATTAAAATTAATTAAACAAAAGGTTTAGAAAAAGTTCCATATTAAAAATTTTATTGATGAGAATGACATAAATTAAAATATATATCAGTTTTCTTTGTGTACAAAATTTATAAAGTATTAGTGCTTTCTGTATTTAAAAGTTTATCTGATTTTCTCACCAATAAAAGTTTTAACCAAAAAGTTTTCTCCGGTTATCCCAGAGCTAAATTTGAGATTACAAGTGAAAAAAAAAAAAAGAGATGTAAAATAAACATCAATATGTGATCAAATCCCTTTTTTGTGTGTGAAAATGTGTCATTTTTGTTCTCGCCAGCTGAAAATGCGTCATTAAGTCCTTAATGTGAAGATTCAGGTCTATGACTCGGTACGTTTAAAAAAAAACATCAAAACGAATGGAGAATTAATTGAGTGTCAAATTTGGTTAGTTCCAAATTTCAATCAACTTGACTTATTCTTCACTGGTTTTATTTAGTTTTAAAAAATTAAATAGATAGATAGATTGGAGTTATGATCATGATCAATTCATTGATATCACTTCCACCGGAACAATTTGTTTTGGTCTCAGTTTCTTGGTAACTACTCCTTCTTATTATTTATATTTAAATACCTAGTAATCGTTTTTACATAAATTAAGAAATTTAATTAAAATTAATTATTACTTAATATTTTAAAAATTTCAGAACTTAAGTTCATTGATTAGAAAAGAGTACGAGTATTTATTAGTTGGGAGTTTTCTTTGGCTAGTTACTAGTTAGACATACAATATCAAAGCAAAAGATAAGTAAAAAAGTAAATTAATGTTTTAGATAAATAACCTGGTAGGAATGGTCTAGTTATAATAAAGATTTGCTGGAGCAATAATTCATCCTATATTAATGCTAAACTAGATTTTATTATCTAACCGCAAATTTTTTAATGCATTTAGCTTGACTTGAAGTTTAGAATTAACATTTCATAATAATTTGTTTTAAAAAAAGGAAATCGCCGCATTTATGATGCTTCAGTGTTATCCATAAACAACCAAATATATTAATCATTAATTAGTCTAATCATGATTATGTCGACATAAACTGATTGTAAAGTGTCATCCTCAGTCCTATCTTTAAGGTGTTATTATTTTTTGTTCTCTCTTAAGGTTTTTTTTATTGGAACACATATTTTCTTTCCTAGACCTAGTAATTTCCATGTACTAATTTAATCAATTAACAATACTACCTCTGATCCTAAATATAAGAGCTAGTTGACTTATTTGAATAAATTAAAAAAATAAGTTAAGTTAGTTATTTATAATAAATAGGTGCTGTTTTTTCTAAAATATCATTACTAATCAAATATATTGGCTAGAACTATCATTATTAGAAGGACTATCTTGGAAAAAAAATAAATATGGAAGACAAAGTGGATTGAAGTTTTATATTTAAGACCAAAATAAAAATCAAACAATATCTTATATTGAGAACCGGAAGTAGTAATATAGATTGTTGAAAACTTTGTTTTTGTTTTTTTGACCGGAAGTTGAAAACTTTGTTTGGGAATAGCATGCATCTCACAAAGTGATATTTTAATAAACTTGTGAAAAATTTCTTATGAAAGAGCGGTGTGGGATTGCCTTGGACCCAAATTTATAAAAATGTTAAAGAATTTGGAAAAAAGCTTGTTCTGTTGGCTTCCTAGACATTTCCTTAGCAATGTTTAATGGTCGTCGAGCTCTCAGGAGTTGACTCTATCAATATTTCTTTTGGTACGATTACAATTACTCCATTCGTTTCATTCCACCTGTCGCCAAAATATTGGATTAATAAAAAACGCATTAATTTTTCATGTTCTGTTTTGCCCCTTGTTAATTTTAAATTTCAAGAACGCGTTAAATTAATAGTATTCGTTCAAAGAAAAAAAAACTAAGGGTATTTTAGAAAAGCAGAAGATTAATTTTGCAAAACTTGACATATTACTCGGTGATTTTCTTAACCTTCAACAAACTATTTTTATGGTTGGCAAAAAAAAAAAACAAAATATGTTTATTTTTTATGACGTGTGACATGAAAGGGAGTGATCGCGACTTTATGATGTCTTAATTGAATAATGAGAAATCAAAAGTTGAAAAAGTCTTCTGGCGAAGTTTCTAATCTTGTCTTTTAATAACATTTAAAAGTGTTTTGAAAATGAAAGATATCCATTTTGTTTGACTCTGGTCATAATTGTATATTATATGCTATTTTTGTGAGTTACTTTAACTCCCTCAGTTTCATCATTATACAGTTTTTTTTTTCCTTAATGATATAAAAAGAGAAAGTTAAGAGTTACAAAATCATCTGCTGTAAACAAGAGTGCCTAAGATTTTTTAAAATAATTCCAAATTTAGCTAGAAATTTAATGTTTTGTGATTAGTTCAAGGCTTATCTTATCTTATCTTATTGCTTGTCATTTAATATACCATTACCAGTTTACCACCGTTAATTTAAAGTAAAAATGCACGTAATTCTTAGATGACAAAATAGACAGATATATAATTAGGTGACAATCAAAAGTCAAGAATCAATTTTTAAAAATTTGAGATCTTGGGTAAATAAAGGAATTTTTCCCAAAAAAAAAAAAGTATGAACAGAAGATTTAAATTAATGTCTAATAAATTTTAATCGTCAGTGAATTTCTAAAGTTTTGTGCTTAAATTCTGGAAGATTTTAAAAGTAAAACAATTGGCTGGCCTCAAATTTCCCATTATTTATTTTGGCCGCTTATATTTGGCCGGATTACGGATTTCGCGTGTGCATAAGGGGTGTGCGTGCTTGCTGTGCGCGTGAGGGGGAGAGAGATTATTTATCCCAAATGTTTGTTTGGATAAGTAATAGAAGTCAAAACAATCCTCGTTGAAATTAAAATTGATTATAAAACTCAAAAATATTTTGTCCATCATTTTTCATTGTTTCTCAATCAAATCACCAAATTCCCAGTCTTGATTTGATTACTTTCATCTATTAATTTTGATAATGATCTTAATTATTTTGGCGTGGTTGGGACTTAGTGCTCTAAACAAAAATTATTCTTATTCTGATTCTTATTAGGTAGAATTACAACCAAGTCTCAAAAAAAAGAAATAATTACTGAAAAGTCTTAATAATAATCTAAACAATTTATAATGATAAGTTTTAAAATAGAGAATGGCAATGCTTGTAATTTATTTTGTAATTTTTTTTCTTAGGACCTCACTGTAATTCTCCCTTCTTATTATACTAATTCTGGTTTTTAATATAAGAGTTAGCTGAATAATTTGAGTAGATTAAGAAAGTTTATTAAGTTATTTATTTGTAATAAATAGGTGGAATCATCCTTAAAATATTTTTACTAATCATGTATATTAGCTACAACTGTCATTTGATGGAAGATTTAAGATTTATAACTGCTACAATAACTACTTTAAAAAAAATAGATAAATATAAGAGATAAAATAGATTGGGGTCTTATGTTTTAGACGAAATTAAAAGTTAAATTAACTCTTACATTAAGGACATGAGGTTGTAATTTATAAAACACATTTATGAAAAAATAGAGGATTCTTATCATCAGCCACCCAATGAAATATTAATTAATTTTTTAACATTGCTCCTATTTAAAATCGAAAATGTAATGCAAGTTTGATTTTTTTTATTTAAATATAGATAAAACCAAACATTTATTTCCTTCTCGGATAAAATTAATAAGTTAATCATATAATTTTTTTAAAATTCTGATAAGGTGGTTAGAGTTGGCTTAAATGATGGGAGAAGGAGTATGGTGACGTTTAGGGTGTTGAATTAACTAGTGGTCTTGATTTGAGGCTGAGAATTTTCCACTTTCCATAAACTTCAAAATTCCTTTACGACATTTAAATTTTTTTAAAAAAAAATAGGACGACGACTTTTTAATTTGGGGTGGGATTTTTTCGGCCTTAAAAAGGTTTTCTTAGTATACATACGGGTAAAGCAACTTGATGCTACCATTAACTAATTTAAATTCAATTATTATTAGTTTTTTTATGTTAAATATTACTATTAGGTTTTAAATGGAGATTAGATTTTCCAATATCTATCCTGTCACGCCTTGATTATTTAATAAGCTATATTAAACTCCTCATGATTTTGATTCCACGCATTAGTTAGAGTATATATTTACAATTTACAACTGGTAATAAATATAATAATTATGATTATTATATTAGAAACGTGTCTCAGTTGAATAATTATAAGCGGACTTCCCCGGAAACCAACATCCTCAGTTGAACATGTCGTCTTCTCCTGTGTTTTAGTAAAATCCTTCATGTCAACGTCTTATTGCTTCCTTGTCCTTCGCCGTCTGTTTCATCAGTTTAACAGATCACACATTCCATAAAACTATTAACAAATTAGTTGATTGCATCAATCTTTTCAACATCGTATATTTTTTAATCCTTTTTAATTGTCATTTGTAATATACTACGAAGATTATTAAATAGATAATTTTTTTATTTTTTTTTACTTTTATCCTTATTAAATATTGGCTAATACTCTTTCCGATTTAAAATATAAGTTAAACTTTACGCATTTATGTTTATCAAGAAAGTAGTTGAAATCAATTTAAAATAATAAATATGTAAGGCATGTATTTTTTTTCCAAATATGCCCTTATTAATGAAGAGAATAAGTAAAAAATGTAATAAATGAATCAAATATTAAAAAAAATACTTGTGGATAAAATTGACAAAAAACTCGTGAATGTTGTCTTATAAAAAAAAACTAAATATTTCTAACAAAATTTAGCTTATATTTTGAATAGAAGAGAATGTACTTTTTCTCACTCATTCTATCACTCGTCACTTTTACATTTGTCTCCCTTAATTAATAGGAATAGAATTAAAAATTAATTATTGAAAAAGGTACTAGTAACAAATAAAAAGGATTAAAAATTTCTTGGTGACAATTAAAAAAGACCAGAGTGGTATTGTTTTTAATATTTAATGGATTAACAAAATTGTGTAGTATACTGCTACTTCTGGTCCTAATTATAAAACATTAGATTACAAACCTTTAAAACCTCATTTGTAGACTACAAATAAAGTCTCATAATTAGGACTGGGCTAATGCAGGCTTTGGTCGGAGTTTGGATGTAAATATGAAAGCCAGCACTGTATTTGGTTACTTTTTTTTTTAAGTTCTTTTTTTTTTGTCTCTGGAAATAAATAAATGGCATGGCGGATCGATTTGGAAATGTGCTTATAGAGTGGCTGTTTGATTGATTCCAATGAGTCATAATTTCACACTTTGACTATAATAGAATAATATGAGATTGGTGCACAAGGCACTCAATAATTTTTTTTAATGGAGGTTCTTATAGTCATCAATGGTTTTAAATCGCTTTGATAAAGGTTAATATTATTATTAGTCCTTATGTTTTGATTAAATTTCGATTTTAATACCCATATAGGTTAAATCTCACAAAGACTCGCTCTAAATTTAAGAATAGAGACTAAAACTCAAAATCTTTGTTAGTATATGAACCATTTGTTAAAATATTAAAAATAGTAATGAGAACATTTAAGATAATTATTGGAAAGTTAAAAAGACAAGTGATAAAAATGTGAAAGATTTGTACCAAAAAATTAGAAGACGATTGCTGGAAAAAAAAAGTAAGAACATTTTAATTGGAGAATTTTAATTTATGAAACAATTCTATATTTTCAGTACATATCTTTCATATTTTTGAGAGTGTTTGATGCATTTTAATATTTTATTTTTCAAATTAAAAACCTCATGTTTCATAAATTTCCTTTAAAAAAATCATGTTTCATGTTCGGTCAATGGCCAGGAGAAAAAGAAAGAAAAATCATTTGATTACAGGCCCATTTAGATTCGCGATTAAAAATCAGTATGTTTTAAATAAATCGAATCAAACCTTTTTTCACGTACTTATTTTGTATATAAATCATAATTAAATAACTAATTATAAGCAATTTCAATCAGCTCTACATTTCAGCAGCATTGGAATTTGGTCTCCAAAAAAAACATTGGGGTCCAGTGGCGTATACCCAATTAAGTATTTGATCTTTTTTTTATTTGAAAAAATATAAAGAGTTAAGAAATTGAAACTGACTATTTGAAAAATAAATAAATAAATAATCTTCCTTCTAAATTCTGGATTTCCTCCCTGTTTTTAAGGAATTTTCATCGACTCATGAAAACGTTAAAATTTTTTGCGTTCTCAGATCTGTTTTAAATTTATTTTACTAAAAAGTTTTTAAGATTAGAATTAGAATGGTTCGGTATATATAGGTTTTTTCCCCTTATTTTCTTGTCAAAGGGTTCAGGAATTATAGTTTGCTTGGTGCGCGCGCGCGCATGTACTATATACAAGTTTTCTAATACTCAAATATATCCCATTGGCGGGCCTGCAGACTGGAGGCCCACCAACCATGATGGACTGTCTAGCCCAAAGGGATATGAGGAGAAGGACTATAAGTTCTAAAATGGACGGGCTAGCCCAGTGACCAGGCCTTATTTGATGGGTTACCCCTTGATCATGTTATGTTCCGTGTTGCAGGGAAGGGAAAGTGAAAAATGGGACTCCCTTTTTAAGATCTATAAATATCATGATTTACTATAAATTCCTCAATAATTGATACTATTTTTATATCAATAATCCTTTGCATTTACATTTTTATTTTATTTTTTTGGTCATAATTCATTCTTTCAATATATTTTTTACAAAGAGTTCAAAATCCTCACTCTATACTTAGATTTCATTTGGTACGAAGTATTGAAAATGAGAAATAAGGAATAGAATTGTAATTAAAAAAAAATTATTTAAAAATTCTTTAACATGAGTAATTACTTGTTACGTGGGATTAGGTAAACCCATGAAAGTGGGATTGGGAAATACCACTTCCCCCCATAGTATTTCCTAATCCCATATACATGGGTTTGTCTAATCCCATGTAATAAGTAATTTCTCATGCTAAATATTATTTTATCAATCTCAATTCTAATCCCTATCCCTCCGTTTTTAATGTTCGTACCAAACACTACTTTAAAGCTTTAAAAGAGGTGCTTAATGTCATTTGAGCTACAAGTCTCCCTATTTGTACTTTGTGGACCAATGCACCTTGAATATAGATTGAAAGATCAAGAGTATATATTAATTTTGACTTGATTTTTCATCTTTCATAGCAGAACATATTAGGGGAGGGTAATTAATTAATTTTACCTTATGCAAAGGATTATTGAGGTTTGAGGACTTTTGTTATTTTATTTGATTTTAAAATGTTTTATCCTCACTTTTAATCAAATTGATCTATTGGTCCCAGAGTTTCATTCCCCCTGAATAATTTTCAAGTCAATCAATTATTCAATGAACCAGTAGCTACTAGCTAAATAGGCAACCTTGTTGAAATTGGGACAGCGGGGCATAATCAAATTCTTTAATTAAAAAACAGATATCCTCATTGGCTTTTATAAGAGGCAACCTTGTTGAAACTCATAAAATTAATGGGACTGAATATACAGTTTAATACAATTGAAATTATAATTCATTGAATATTCGAAATTTTCTTTTGTTAGTTTATGTTGAATTTAATTTAATTAAACTTTCATTGACACTTTTATCTTTATTTGGTAAATTCAAGAGTGGCTAAGCAACTAAGTTCCAATTTAGAATTAAGAATTAGAGGGTTAGGCTTCCAAATCTTTTTACAAAGAGCCCAAGCGCGGGCCTTACGAACTTTAGGCATTCATAAAATATAAACAAATATATAATTTATAAAATTCATAATTCAATTCTTAAAATTACATGTTAGACTTAGATATAAACATAAACATAAACTAAATTATTTTTTTAAAATTCAGACAACCTTTTGTCTAAATTAAACCATTCTCGTAAGTCCAATTTCTACAAATAAAGAAAAAAATATTTGCAGCATCATCAATAACGTCAACCTCGTGAAAAATATTGAATGCTTAAAAAAATCCACCTAAGGGTTCAACAACCTGATTAGCAGTATTTTGAATATTAGTTATATCATCTTCCAAATATATTGAATCTCAATTTGATAGTAAAAGATCTTTTTGTGCTCTTGCATGGACATTTTTTAGACCCTTTTTTGTGATAAATGCGTATAAGTAATACTACTATTTAATTATTTTATAATGAATGTCACATGATTTTCTTAAAATATTTTTATATGATATGAGATTCATAAGTTAAGTAAGTTAGTTTAAAATATTAATATATACACAAACACATATATATATGAGAGATGAAGTAAATTAAATTTTTTTATTTAAAACTAAATTAAACCCCAACTATTTTTTATATTAAAAATCAGTTTAGGAGTAGTACTAATAGTAATGCTAGTAATAATAATGTGGAAAGGTTTGTAGTCGCATAATTTTATTCGTTCATTAAATATTCTTTAGTATCATTTTGGGCCAATTCTCAAGAGTGCAATACGTAGCATTGACTTTCACAGATAGGGACATGCCAAACTTTAATTTAATTTAATACTCAGTCCAAAAAAAAGTTTAATTTAATACTTTTATACATATATAATTTATTATTTATATACATCATGATCAATTTTGGTGAGAGGGGAATGTAATATCTTTAGGACAGACTAATATATATCTCATAAAATAAAAGTTGAGGGACTCAAGTACTAAACCTATCAAAATCATATATCATAACTATTTTAGATTCTTCCTTAAATATAAGTGTCTAAATTAGATTGAAAAAAATCATAAAAAAGACCTTAAAAATAAAAAAATTACAAATAGGGACCTGTTATAATGTTAGTATTGGTTTTGATGGCAATTAATAAGTAAATGACAGTAATTTTTATAAATGGGTTCCTGTATTGTAATATTTTAATTTTTAATGTCTTTTTTGTGATTTTCCCAATTAAATTTTTATAGAAAAAAAACCCATAATTAAATATTACTCCTAATATAAGACCCATTTAACTAATTTGATTAGATTAAGGAAGTTAATAATTATAAAATGTGACACGTTTTTCCTAATACCATAATCATCTTTCTTAATACCCTACTTGGATTGAAGGAGTATCATATTGACAACTTAGGAAGGGTCCTATATTAAGGACCAAATAAATTAATAATCGGTCAATACAACAGAAGAACCAAATAAGCAATAGAAAAATACATAATGCCCTTTAATCTGAAGTCTGACCAAACAAGCAATGACTTCCTCTGTGTTACTCGTGATTGTGAGACTGTGTCTCGTGTTTCTCTCCACCGCTTTTGCCTTCCCACCACTGCCACCCTTAAACACCGCAGCTTCCACCACCGTGACCACCAAACCCCGCCGTATCGCTACCAGGCTCCCTCACTGGCATGCTCATGCCACCAACTCAAACCACCACTCTCCTGCGCGCGTATCCTACCTCGTGGCAAAGGCCAATGGAGCCAGCGATGACATCCGATCGCCGGTCATTGCCGAGTCCTCCGGTATGCAGTTTATGGTCAATATCTCGTTCGGAAAGCCGCCGGTTCCTCAGCTCCTAACCATGGACACCGGAAGCAACCTCTTATGGATTCAGTGCCTTCCGTGTGTCAAATGCTTTCAACAAAAAAGCCCACTATTTGATCCTCTAAAATCTTCCACATACACCAACCTACCTTGTTATTCTCCTTTTTGCTATATTCCAAGCAAAGACAAATGCGACCCTTATAACACCTGCAAGTTCTCCGAAACCTACAAAGACGGCACCGCAGTTTCAGGTCTCCTCGGGACCGACGATCTCACCTTGGAGACTTCCGACGAAGGAACAACCACAGTTCGTCAGGCTCTCATGGGCTGTGCTCATAACAACGACGGCTACAACGGCGAACCAAGTGGGATTCTAGGGCTAGGTCCTTCACGCTTGTCCTTAGTGACAAAACTGGGCTCCAAGTTTTCCTACTGCCTTGGTTCCATAAGAGACCCAAAGTATCCTCACAGTGTGTTAATTCTAGGAGAAGAAGCTGCCATGGAAGGAGACACAACCCCACTTGAGATCTTCAACGATCTGTACTATGTAACCCTAGAAAGCATAAGTTTTGGAGACAAGAAACTAAACATTGATCCAAATTCATTCAAAAGAACACCAGAAGGGAAAGGTGGGGTTGTGATTGATTCAGGAACAACAATAAGTTATCTTGTGGTTGAAGGTTACCGACCAATCATTAAGGAAGTGAAGAACTTGCTGGACTGGAAGCTTAAACCAGTGGTTGAGTTTGGGAATCCAAGTATCTGTTATGAAGGGGTTATAGAGAGAGATCTAATAGGGTTTCCGGTGGTGACGCTGCGTTTTGCTGGAGGGGCTGAGTTGGCTTTGGATGTGAATAGCTTCTTCCATGAGAATGGGAAAGAAGAGTTTTGTGTAGCCATGGAGGAGTCTCATGAGGATCTCAGCATCATTGGGGCTATGGCTCAGCAGAATTACAATGTGGGTTTTGATATTAATGCCCGCAAGCTTGCCTTACAGAGGATAGATTGTCAGCTTCTTGATTTGAGACGGTGATATATGGTCATTTTCTCAGTTTAATAAGTGTGTATTTGTCTATATATGCTTATATAGAAGTATATAAGTTATATACATAGTATTATAGTGTGCTTTTGCGTGGCACCTAGTAATATTGCAGAGAAAATAATAATGGAAACTGTACTCACAAGAAGTCAAAACAGGAATAAAATTAAACTTTTTTTTTTTGGGGAAAAGGAGTCAAACGTAGGTTGCAATTTAAAAGAGAAATTAAAGCATGACCATAATTAGAATTTGGAATTGTGAAAAGAGGAATCAAATAACAATTTAAGAATGGTAACTGAATTTATGTTTACGGAAACACATTTTGGATCTGAGAGTTCATTATTGACTGAAATTGGGGAGCAATTTGTGGGAGAGAAGCTAAGAATTTTGGCCCAAATTTTTTTTAAAAATGATGCGTGTATCTTAAAAGAGCAGATTAATAATAGTTAGATGCCAAAAATTTGGCAGAATGTAAATGTGAGAATCTCAACTGCAAATTTCAACAAAAATATTTCTTTTTGACAATTGAATCCCTTATTTACTTTTGATTTTATGATGAGAGAATAGGTAATAAGAACTAGTAAGAGTATTAATATAGAAGTATATAGTTAAAAGTAAGTCTTTTTTTTTTTTAAATAACGCCAGCTATGTAATGTATAGTTTTTTTTTTATTATTGTGCATAATTTTAAACTATAATTGTTTTAAAAGTGATGGTGTAATAGTAAAATCATAATTAATGTTAATCATCCTCTTAAGATCATGTTAGGATTGGAAAGGAAAAAATAGGAAAGAAAGAGAGTCTGATTACCAGAGCATCACTGTATTATCAATATAATTTCATCATAATAATAGTGATGAATAATGAGCATGTGGTAAATTTATTTATATATTTACCACTTGTCCAAGCTTGAAGTCAACATAGTACTAGCTAGGAGTGTTCAACTTGTCCTATCTTGGTCCTAGTTAGTTCGAGACGGAATTAAAAAAATTTCAGGATAGGCAATTACAAGATGTAATTGGACAATAACTAGGACCCTGTGTCCTATCTCGGAGTATTTTTTTAAGAATTATTTATTAATAATTATTATTAGATTATTCAATTCACATAGTAATAATGATTATTATTTTTATAGGGATTTTCAACTCTTAAGTTACAGTGTTATCTCAACAAAATCTCATTCCTTAATAAAATAATTCATAAAGCTATTGTATAGTGTTTTTTTTTGTGGTATCTTTTTTATAGTATTATTTTTACACTTTTTTTATACTATATAATTAAGCTTTTTAGATGATATTTTTTTATAACGTTTTTATCTTTAGAAGCCTTATAAAAATAAACATTATAGTATAAAAAAATTCATACAAAAAAATTAGTTTTTTTTTAAGGGAAACGAGATAGTGCACGGGATGAAAATCCAATTCCCTTCTTGTTCACTGAGATGGGACCGAAACAAGCTTATCTCGGTTTTGTCCAGCCCTATGAACAACCCTAGAACTAGCATAGCGCCGCAGCCCCATTGGCTCATTCCTTATCATCATTGTGTCATAATGCCTCAGCCTCTTACAAGAGAGAGCATCTCTCCAATTCAAATGTCGACTTGACTTAAAATACTATTACAGATATTTAATACAAAAGTTTGTTTAACATTTAATTTAATTTTAAATATAAAATCTTAATTCATTTTGTTTCTTATATTTATTAATTTTTTCTTAAAGTAGTTGTTGTATAGTTACATAGTTAATTAAATATCTTATCAAATAGTAGTTTTAACTAATATACACATATATAATTAGCAAGAGTATTTTAAAGAAGATAATATCTATTTATTACATATAACTAACTTAATTAATTTTTTAATATAAAATTAGTCAACTAGCTTTATATTAAAAATCGAAAGTAGTAACTTAAATAATATAATAGTTTCATTTATCATTGTTTCAATTATATTCTTAGTTTGTCCTAAATATAAGAGCTAGTTTAGGAATTGATTTTGATCATAAATATATATAATAAGATCTCAATTCATTTAATCGATCTATCATATTTATTTTTTTCCAAATTACTTTATCTAATTTATAAAATGATGTATAATCGAATGAAATATCATGTTTTTAATATATAAAATATTTTGCATATTTAAGGATGATTAATATATATTTTTACAATACTCTTAAAAGTATATTAAAGTTACTTATTTCCTTTCAATAGTATGGTAATTTCTCAAACGAAGGGATTACTAGTTGCTACCTAATTTCCTTAGCGGCTAGTACAATGAAATTAAAGCAGTTCGTTTGTTCTTTTCCTGCCCGAACTCAACCCGTTGATATGACGATATCATCATCTTATGAGGAGCTTGCTGAATTTGATAACATTAATTAATAATTAATGCATTTTGGTTTTTTCTGACTACATATGCTTTCCTTGACATTAGACAACTCATCTCAGTTATACAAATTTATTATATGGTTGAAAATTGAAATTGGTCAATTTTAGTTCTCCATCACATGTCCTTTTTCTTAAAAAATTGTTCTTATTTTGTTTGTATTTAAAAGATTGAGACATTATTAATATTTACATGTCCGCAACAGACAAAAAGAATATAATCTATGCAAAAATCATCTGAAATCTTTGCACTAAGTAACAATTATTATTATTATTTTTGTTGTTGTTGAGTTTTACCCTTTACTTAATTAATACCACACTACTTTAAATTATCATTTAGTGTACACCATTTAACATGGTCATTATTGAAAAATGTAAAGATTATTCATAAAACATAATAATGCAGTTCATTATTTAAACTATGGTCCTTTTTTACCAGGTTAAGAAAAGGAAAGGCAAAACTTGTGAGTTGATCATACTCGATCACAATAATAGTAATCCTAACAGGATATCAAGAAACTACTTTTTTTACTTGCTAGAGAATGAGAAGAGGACCACTGCAGCAAACATTTTCATCTTAAGATTTTCACCTTTAAAACCCCTTTAAGATAAATAGTCGCGGCCATCAAATTGCTTTATATAAAGTTTTAGGTAATAGTAATACCTACTAAGCTACTACTCTTGGCACAGATCAAGTTATGTGATATAATTATTTAATACTATTATATCTGCAAAGTTCTATCAGTGAAGCTGTATCTAGTAATCTGCATCTTACCTAAACTCAAGCAGAAATCATAACATAGAAGCTCAATGGAATCTCATCATCTTCTCCTACTAGTGGCCTTCTCAAGCCACTGCCTCTTAAACATCAATACTACTTCTGCAACTACCAATTTCCTTGCAAAAGCTCACAGAATCATCTTCAAGCTAAGCCACCACAAGTTTATTCTTAATCAACTTCACAATCAGACTGTAAAAGCCTCACTTGCACGTTTAGCTTATCTAGAGAGGAAAGCTGGAGGTATTTCTCACAATTACTACACCAATGACTTGCGAGCAAGAATGAAGGCTGAGATATTTGGTGTACAGTTTATGGCCAATTTCTCCATTGGTGACCCCCCAGTCCCTCAGCTTCTAACCATGGACACAGGAAGCAACCTGTTTTGGGTTCAATGTCTTCCTTGCAATAAGTGCTTCCAACAAACAAGTCCACTATTTGATCCCTTCAAATCATCCACATACACCAACATATCCTGCAAATGTCCCTCTTGCTCAGTTTTTGATGAAGACAAATGTGATGCCTATGACAACTGCAAGTTCTCACACAAATACCTTGATGGGACTGATGTGGCAGGAATACTTGGCACTGAAGCTCTCACTTTTGTGACTTCTGATGAAGATGTAATCACTGTCCCTGAGGTGCTTTTTGGCTGTGCTAGTGACAATAATGCTTTTGATGGTGAGCCCAGTGGCATTATAGGCCTTGGTCCTTCAAACATATCTCTGGTGACTCAACTAGGTTCTAAGTTTTCCTATTGCCTTGGCAGTATAATGGACCCAAAGTATACCCATAACGTGTTAGTTCTAGGGGAAGGTGCTCGTTTAGAGGGTGACTCGACACCCCTAGAAGTTTTCAACGATCTTTACCATGTAAGGTTAGAGAGTATAAGTGTGGGAGAAAAACAGCTAGACATTGATCCTTGTATATTCAAAAGGACACCAGAAGGCAAGGGTGGGGTTGTCATTGATTCTGGGACAACTCTAACTTTTCTGTTGCCTGAATGGTATGAACCAGTTGCTTCTGAAGTGCAGAAGTTGTTAGATGGCAAGCTTGAACGTTCATATGATCCATATATTCCAAATCTGTGTTACAAAGGGGTTATTAGTAGAGATCTGACAGGATTTCCTGTGGTAACATTTCACTTTGCCGGAGGAGCTGAATTAGCTTTAGACATAAATAGCCTTTTCCAAGAAAATGGTAAGGAGGAGTTTTGCCTGGCCTTGCAAGAGTCTCAAGAAATGAGTATCATTGGGATAATGGCTCAGCAGAATTACAATGTAGGATTTGATGTTTCTGGAAAGAATGTTTTCTTCCAAAGGATAGATTGTCAGCTTCTTCATTAAGCCATAATGTACATTAGGTTGAGTTGGAGTATCAAGACTGCATCAAAAGAGAAGACAAGGTTTCAAAATATTCTGGCGAGATAAACTTGCTAACTATGTTGCTTAAAAAAGAGTAGTCATCTATACCTGCATTTTAGCACAGCCGAAATCTCTTGAAGTTAGAACATGGTTGATCAGACAGAAGCTGTCAGAGTACATAAACCATAGATTCGATCAAGCTTTCCTCAAGGAGAGAGTTTTAGATAGAAAAGGATAATTTCTTGCAGTCAAAATTTGGTTTCTCTGAACTTTCATGTGTTTTAATTAATAAAATAGAGTCGTGGTGCATTCTCTTATCTACTGCATATAAATTTCGGCTTCTAAAATGAATTTTATACTTTCTCAACAAAATAATCGATCTTTGTATTCTAATGCATTGTATATATGGATATAGGTGTGAGAAACCTATTAATAATATGAATCTAAAGAAGCTGCTGTTAGTAAACTAGCAATGTTACCAACAAAAAAATGTATCTATTGCGGTTTATTACCCTACCAAGAGAACCAATGGGTAATCTACATGAACTTGATCTATTTGTCTGCTAGTGCAACTTCATTCCTTTAACATTGGTTTTTTTATCCATTGTATTGTACAAAACGAGGCTGCTTAAATTATGCTAAAGATTTTATATCGTCTTGCACAATATTTTAACATTGGATAAACTAGAAACGAAAGTGTCATTCCTCATTCGTATGTAGCTGCTTCAGGATTATAATTAAACTCACCGAACCTTGGGAAATTCCCAACATGCTCTTTTAACTTTTTCCAAAACAATTCTAAAGCTAACATCTCCCTTGGCATATAAGAATTAGAATACAAGCTAATTTCTACACCCATAAAAGAAAGAAAGAAAGACCCCAAGGTTTATCACACGATCTGAGTGACTAGTTTTACTAAAACCAAAAAACGATATCAGATGGTTTCACTTTTCTAGCACATTCTTTTATGGTCCAGATGTAAAGAAAAAGAATGCAAGCTATGGTACCAGAACAAAAATCTCCATTTCCAATTCAATTTATAGGCTAAACTACTGCACCAATTGCTCAACACCCTTTCCTCCTTCCTTCTCTTAGCCTTTCAAGTGTTTGCAGCCTTTTGAAAACGAATTTAAATCTATTCTGAACAGTAGGTATATTTGCAGCCTCGCTAAAGTACAGATAGCAAATCCAGTGACACTGAAAGTTTGAAGACGAAAGTCAATGGCATTGAATCTGTTTTTAGCCTTCTCAATGTGCTGTTTCTCCACCATTGGTATGATTGGCACAAAAGCCAATCCCCAAGTTAGCTCACTTTCTGTATCAACTGCTAAACCTCACAGATTTGTCTCTAAATTGATTCACCCTCACTCTGTTCACCATCCATACTACAACCCAAATGAAACAACAGAAGACCGGATGGAACATGACATCAAACGTTCACTTGCACGCGTCGCTTCATTGCAAGCAAGGATCAGAAGTTCTTCAGTTTCAAATGATCACCGAGCTAGTCTTTTTCCCACAGCATCCCATTCAACCATGCTGGCCAATATCTCAATTGGCCATCCGCCTATCCCACAACTACTAGTTATGGACACCGGCAGTCCATTCTTATGGGTTATCTGTGTCCCTTGCTCGAATTGTGCCCCGTATCCCGGTCCAATTTTTGATCCTTCACAATCTTATACCTATTCCCCACTGTGCAGCTCACCCCCTTGTCATTATAACAGCTCAAATCAACTTTCATTTAATGTCACTTATGCAGACACAACCTTCGTATCAGGAACACTTGCCTTTGAACAGCTAGTCTTTGACACATGTCATGAAGGGAGGAGTGAAGTATTCAAAGCGTTACTTGGGTGTGGCCACAACTTTTTGTCTAGTGGAGAGCCAGGATATAATGGAATACTAGGACTGAACAATTATAATCTGACTCTGGCCTCTCAAACGGGCAAAAAGTTCTCTTACTGCATAGACAGCATCATTGACAGTAAGTCTGATCACAGCCATTTGATGTTAGGTGAAGGAGCCTATCTTGAAGGAGACTCAACACCTTTTGAAGTGTTTGATGACATGTACTATATCACCATGGAAGGCATAAGTGTAGGTGAAAAGAGCATTAACATAACCCCAAGAACTTTTGAGAGGAAAGCAGATGGCACAGGTGGAGTTATCATTGACTCAGGTTCCACATTTACCTTCCTGGTGGATGAAGGGTATGAAGTACTGCTCAGAGAAATTAGAAGCCTGTTAGATGGGTCCTTTAGAGGAGTTCGATATGTAGGAGAGCCATGGCTATTGTGCTATTTGGGGACTCTCAGCACAGATTTGGTTGGATTTCCAGTGGTTACATTCCACTTCGCTGAAGGGGCAGATTTGGTCTTGGACAAAGAAAGCCTCTTCATACAGAGGAATAATGACACTTTTTGCACGGCTGTGGCTCCAATCAACGTCGTTGATCTCTGGTCTAAACCTTCTATTATAGGCTTATTAGCTCAGCAGGGTTACAATATCGGATATGACCTCAATAATAAGGATATTTACTTCCAAAGAATTGATTGTGAACTTATTAGTAGCTGATGGGTGAATTCCCGACTCTAAATAGGGAGAATTGTAATTAGGTCCCACCTAAGGAAATTAAATACAAAAATATCCCTTGAAATCATGAAATTATTCTGAAGTTCCAAGGGACCTTTTTGTAATAAATTTCATTTGTGTAATTACCAAATTACTCTTTTTTTTTTTTAGTTTCTATTAACAACTAAAAGAGTAGTGGTTGACAACTTAGGATGCAAGGATAGATAACTATTGCGGCTGGTTTGACAACTCATGCGTTACATTTTGTGATATGCTGAGAAAATGTGTTATCAAACCAGCTGCGATAGTTGTCAATCCTTACACTATGAGTTGTCAACCACGGCTCTTTCAGTTGCCAATGTAAACTTTAAAACAAAAAAGGATAATTTGATAATTAAACGAATAAAATTTATTGCAAAAAGGTCCCTTGAGACTTCAGAATAATTTTATGATTTCAATGGACTTTTTTGTATTCAATTCCCTTAGATGGGACCTAATTACAATTTGCCCTTAAAAGTACCCCAAAAAAAAATTGTTCTACAAGGCACTAGTGTTCTTTGGTTGTAAATTACAGAATCATAGGTTTATCATGCGAAATGTCAGGACACATTTGTAAACATTACATTGAACTTAAAATATATGAAGGATGCGAACTATGGAACCGCACAAAAAAGGGCATCATTCCAATACAAGAAACTCGAATAATTCACCAACAAGCTGTTGCTGTGAAGCATCCTCACTCTTGTAGGGGGGAAAAAAAGCTTAAATAATGAGAAGTGCACTTTTTTTTTTTTTGGGGATATGAGAGGTCTAAAGCCCAAAATTAAAACTAGCTCTTAACATAAATATTGCTTCTAGACTCATCTGCGCTCTAAATCTCAAAAGGAATATTTTTTTCTTTGGAACTGAACCCAAAAAGAATACCTTCTATTAAATAATTTAAAAAAAAGAATAATTTGCCTCAGCCACATTAGAGTCATTTTGCAACAGAAAATGTCTGGACGTAATGGTGCTCAGCGTAAACCTTCGTTTTCTGGAAGAATATCACAGTTTCCCAAGTCTATTTCTAACTCATATCTAGAATTAGGTTTTACCTCTCAATCTATTACCTAATTCTTATGACAAAATTATATGATATGCAATACAAAATCTAGAATTAGGTACAACACCAAAAAAAAAAAACAGAAACTTTAATTTATAAAATATAAATCAACTCAAGAGTCAAGCGTACAAAATTCAGAGAGTATCTCCCAAGCTCGTAATTTGTACTAACATATATGAATATGATCAGATGATTATTTAATTAATAATGACTTGTATTTGTACATGAAATTCTCCTTACAATTAACTTGGGAATTTAGCAGTCCAAAGAAGAACAAGTGACAGCAAAAGAAAAGATAAACTAAAACACAACCTCTTAAAAGGTTCTGTTTTTTGACATCAAATCGTGCGATCAAAATGACGGCACCGTCAAAATGACGAGACGTGCAATACTAGAAGTTGTGGTGTTTGGATTGGCAATGGGACAATTTGGTTTTTGAATAAAAAGCCACAATAAACTAGAAATAGAAGTTTGGTACTTATAGTTTTTGGTTTTGTGGAGAGATAAAAAGTTATTAAAAAAAATGAGTCCCACTTTTTAAAAAATATACTACTCATAAGCTTTAGATAACTAATTTACAAATAACAAAAAATCAGTTAAAATTAGATAAAAATAATAAATAAGTTAAAAATATATTTGTGTCCAAATATATTCTTATAATAAATTTTTAAAAAAAGATAAAACAAATGTATGGAAAATGTAACGAAAGAGAATACAAAAGAAAGAGAATAAATAATATATATATTATTTAATGAAATTCGTACCGTTTCGGTCCATTTACAACTAAGCTTGCTTTTCCAATAATGACCCAAACAATTCTGTTTTTACAAACTATCTTATTTATAAAGCTAAAATATTTATTTGATCCTTTAATTTTGTACAAAATTTCAGTTTGATCCCGTGACTTTAAAAAACATATGTTTGATCCTTGAACCTTAAATGTTTTAAAAATTAAATTTAGAATATTTTATCAATATTTAAGATTTTAATGTCATTATTTTTTAGAAAAATTTTAGAGTTAAAAGACAAAAAATATATTTTTTAAAATTAAAGGACCAAATTGAAACCTTATCCAAAGTTAAAAGACTAAATTGAAACCTTATCCAAAATTAAAGGATTAAATGTATACTTTAACTTATTTATAAAAATCAATTCAAATTCTATCCAATCTTTTGAGTTTCCAAAAGCCTAATTAAAAATAAGTCACTTTTTCTGAATTCAAATTGGCCTGAGATGTTAATCCTTCGCCGAAGTTTCCATCAACTCTGTTCCAATCACGTCCTCCTCGTAGTTCTGCAGTCTCCACTGCAACTTTGCGAACCGGTGCCAGTTATAGCCTTTACCGGCACTGCTGCACTTTCTTCCCATTACAGTTGGCGCGCGCTGGTTTACAGAGAATATCTTCTCATTACAGTTGTCCCTGTAAATGCTACTTTCCTGGCCTCGTCATCCATGGGGCAGGTGAAATCGCACTGAGGAACCTACAAAACCACAAAATATGTAAAATCAAACTATAAAAACCTGCTTCACCGGAATTCAACACAGTTTGAGGCATAGATGCGGACATTTTATATGTATCAAATAGACAAACAAAAGAAGGAAAAATAGATATATTAATTGATGCAAGTTTATTTCTGAGCGTGCAAATTGGTGGCTGAAGGAATTGGACACCAAATTATGAAGCAGCTCTCATGCTCTAGTATTGGAGAATTGGAGTGATTCAACTATCCAGTGTTTGTCTGGGTCCTCTAGAACAGAAAAATAAGAACGATAAATGAAACGAAAAACAAAATTTTGCAATCTGATTGCCTGTAACTCAGATCACGAAACCAGTTATTACGTGTTCTCCAGGATTCATGGCACACAATGCAGAGATGCTTCTAGTAAACAACTTCATGCAATTCCCATTTCTATGCTACCTATTGAAAGTCTTTGGTGTTACTTGAAAGCATAACTTCAACTCTTTCTTGGCACGTCGCATTATGTGATATATAGTCTTTATCCTGTCCTGGCTAATATACACACACAACTTAAATAGCAAATTCAATTAACATAGCTGATCAACTCAATGGCATCCCATCCTCTATTTTTAGCCATCCCAATCTGCAGATTCTCCACCATTTGTATCGGTACTACAACCAACGACAACTTCCCCTTGCTACCTCACCATCCGCAATATATGATTTGCCTCTAAACTCATTCAACTTCACCATGTTTTCCACATTCTCTCAATCTTATTAATCATAATACCACCATTGTCAACATCCTCACCACACTTTCATTTGTGAAACCTCAATCTCCGTTTCTAAATTACGGAGTATTTTTCTCCATGCCATTCTGTACAGTCAAAAACCACAGTTTCTATTCTTCGAAGGTCAGTAGTATGATATATAGTGTTTCATTTCTAGCTTTGGGTAGACAAAGGAGAAAAGATCTAATTAGATATTTGCAAAAGGCAAAAATAGACAAACTGATTGACATAAAATTGAGCATTTATTAAGACATCATGAACATTCTTTTACAAGGTCCATTCCCATCCAAACAGACTAACACTAATTCTCTAATGCTTCCATTCTTACTATGTGGTAACTAAAGTATCTCTTTTTTTTCACAGATGTGGTTCATCTCCAGTTTTATCCACAGCCCAGCCACGTGTATCAAGTCCCAATTCATGCAGATTTACTGCCCAGGCAAGGCTAAAGATGCTTGAAAGTTTCATAGTTATAATAAATCAATTTTCCAGGGAAAGAAGAAACAAACAAAATGAATACAGAGAAAGAACCATGAACATAGCCCACAAAAAGTTACAGTTAATCCTCAAGACGGAGTCAGAGAGAGATTCAAGCTGGTTCAAGCCTTCAAGACTCAGCAACCACTTAGCACGTGTATCTATTGCTCTCTCTTATCATCCTTCAAGGAAAGAACTAATCGCAAAAGTCCCTAGAGAGTATTCTGATTGTGGCCGTCCTATACCATGGATGATTATTAATTACTAAAAGAAGATTACCAATGGCAGAGGTACCAAAACGTCGTAATGCATGCAACAAGCAAGTCTTTTTGTAAGATGGATAACTCACAAGCATACTCTCGTTTGTCCATCAATTACCGCATAAACACAGCTACAGGGATGAGATTTAGCGCCAAAGGGTGTTTTAGTGGGTGTTTTAGTAACATAGACTTTTTTCTCCCTCTGGTTGTCTGTGTGCGTTTATTTTTGGGTTATAGTTTTCTTTTCTCTGTTTTTAGGAAAAATACTTCCAGAAACTCTGGCAAGCGAACCTACTATATTACGGGTAAAAGGAAAAGCAGATTTCAAGCCTTATTTCTTCCCTTTTAAACAGTAAAATTGAACTTTTTCTCGAGGAGTGACCATGAAGGACCATAGAAACCAAAATTTTTGGGCTAGCCAGAGGATAAAGCAAGTTCAACGATGAAAACACAATTTTTTTATGTCCACAAGGATTCGCCGTAATCATTGATATAGCTGGAGAAAATTACTTTGAAATTGCGCTATAGATTCCAACAAAATGGGGCACAGGCGTAAATATAAATCATCACTGTATGCAAATCTCGTGAGTAAATTTCATAGCAACACTAGACACTTGAAGCTAGCTCAAGTGGCAAGGGTAGAGTGGGGCGGCTAAGGGTTCAAACTTTCCCAACAAAACAAACACTCGCACGCACACACTTACAGACTGCTGAGTCCACCTGGCAATCTGATAGACACTTTTCATGAGATACTGCAGCAAAGATAGAGCATTGTTTAGGCACGATAGTTACATATTAGAACCAGAATGCAAAATTAGAGTTTCTTACGCCCAAAAAAAAGCCAATTTATAAAAGACTTGGCACTGTTTGTTCCATCTGCTCCAGCCGTTCCCTTTAATTAATTAACTTGAAT